GTGTAATTTCATTCTGCCTATTTACATTTTTCTAAAAATTAAAATAGTTATGTCCTCTGCCAAACTAGAACAGTGTTGTCAGGTGACTTGTGTGTGTCACGCAATGACAGTTACAATTAAATCAAGGAGAGTTTGTGTCTGTGAGGCTGGGCTCCACGTGTAAAGTGCCTGGAGCCTTCTCAATGATTGATGACCACTGATACAGATAGTCAAAATATGATTTGCTGAAAATCTGTATACTAAAACGCAGTTCGAGGACTAGACCTCTGTAGAGTTTTGGGGTAGATGTCATTCCAAAAATATTGGGGAACGTTTTTTTTTTCTGCATTTGCAGGTAAATAAGATAAGGTTAAACATTCAATTCACCCGAGAGTTTTAACCTTCAAAAAAGGTACTATTTGTACAAAATAAACATTGTTGTAGTTTTTGCTTGCAACTACTGGAAAGCTGTTCAGAACTCCAGCAAAACTGAAATGGAGCATGAAGAGATGGGTTAATAAATAGGCTGCAAGTGAATAGGCTTTACAATGACAGGCAGATGTAGTTTCCGTATTAATACCCACCCCTCGTGTGATCAAGCAGAGTGAATGTTGTGTGTATGGGGGAAAGAGAAGATGAAAGTCTTTTGTATTTTTTGTATCATGTTAATGAAAATAGTACAGTAAGTATTCCAGATAGCAGGTGGGTATTGCAAACAAGACAAAAAGCAATATCTGTTGTGTTTAGGATTTCCAGAATAGTGAACAACAGGAAGGACATAAAAATATCTTGGCTGTTTCAGTTTTATCAAATAACTGTTTTTTTTCAGTTCTAGTGCCAAGAAAAGTTTATTGAGTTTTATTAATTCTGTTCCCATTTATTGCAAATAAGAAGCATTCTTTACTTGACAAATATTCCTACAAAATTTCTAGTAATAAAGAAATTAAAGAATATTATATAAAGCAGTCCATAGGAAATATATTTAAGTAGAATAGAGTTTGAGATGATATACATATCTTTAAATCTAAAATGCATTATTCTATGGTTCACACAGAGTAAAGCAAATTTTGTTCTATTTCTTCTCCACCTCTTCTTCCTCTAAATATTCTTGAATATTTTACGTAATACCGAAGATATAAAAGGTAGATTTTTGTTCTTAGCAGTAGGTAGGAAGAAGTTGGCTGTTGGACGGCTGAGATTCAATATTCATCCAATACATTAATAATTTAGGATTTTTTTTTAATAATCTGGAATTTATTTTTGTTTTGTTTTAATCACATGCTGGAAAACACTAGTGAAGTGTTTCATTTGGTTAACATTGGCTTCCCGGTCCATATGCAATTTTATTGCTGATCAGGTTCTATTGAGTGGAGTATGTAATTACTCAGCAGTTTTGAAACCTGCCTCCATATCTAAAAGGCTGACTGAATTTACATATGAAGCTTTATAAAACTGCCTTTGAAAACCTTGGTTCTTGTAGCTTTAAAACTGAAGTGGAAATTTTTTTAGAGCTTTTGCAAGATACATAGTACTTCCATTTTAGGTAGAATATTGTTTTTCATAACGTTTGGCAATTCAGGTTCCTTTATTGGATGAACTGTTCAATAAAAATTAATGCATTCATATATTTAAAAAACCTTACAGGATTATTGCACTTTTGGCAATGGAATTGTAGCTTGATAGAGTTGTCTTTTTTGGACTTAGTGACTGTGCATCACTATTATCTCTTTTTAACAGAGATAAAATTTGATTAAGCTGAAGGAGATTTGAAGGCACTTGCATTTTTCAGAGAGATACTCACTCCAATTTGGTCCAAGAAAATGAATAATAAAATCACTATGTTGCTTGTCCATCTAGGGGTTAGGCGAAGAGTTAGTAGTAATTTCTATAAATCTCTGATGAGTATGATGCTTATATAGATTGAAAGACCTTTCTGTCTGTGATAATAAAAGCTGCTGATGTGATGCAGAAGGAATGCATACTCTTACTGACTTTTTTTTCTGGATCTGGTCTCTACAAAATCCAGTGTAGGCTTACTTTGGTTCGTTAGTTGGTTGGTGTTTTTAAATCCCGAAATAAAAATGTAAAAATAAATTTCTGTGGGGCATCTCCTCCAAACTGGTTATGTTCAACTTTGCTCAATGCACCACTTTTTTTCAAGGTGAAGAAAAGCCAGTGGGAAGCTTGCAGATGAATTAAAAATAAAATTATTATCCTTATTTAGAATCTAGTTGATTTGTAAGCAGCTAAATGTGCTTACATTTGCCACCTTCCTTCTGATGTCAAATTCTCATCAAATCCTTGTTTTACTTAACAAGGCAGGCCTGGAATACGTAAAAAGCAAAACCAAAAAAATCCTTTCTGGTCTTCCAGCAATCTATACCATGGAGACTTATGCCAAAGGTGTCCTATTTGTGTTTATTAACCCTTAATGGATTCTTTTCTCCATCAAATTTGGCCTACAGCTTTCTAACGTATTCCAACTTCTAATTTATTCACACTTTCAGATTTGTTTCTGCATGGTATGAAAGAGAACCTCTTCTTGTCTGTCCTGAACCTTGCATAGGGTAGTTTAATTTGATACTATCTTGTATTAGAAGAGAAGCATCAGTGTTTGTACCTTGTTCATCTTCTTGCTACTCCTGATTTTGTAGTCTTGTATCTGGCTTGCAGGCCAAGCAGACCCAGTCAATTTAGCTGTTTCTTGCACCAAACTTGTTTCACACTTCGGATCATATTACTTTTCTTTCTCTTATCCCTTTTTCATTTCTTTTATATCTCTTTTTAAAATGGGAAGAACAGAACTGCACACAGTATTCATTGTAGTGTGCCTCATGAGTTAATAAAATCTCTGATTTATGAAGATGTCTGTCCTCCCTTCCTCTCCTAGCAATTTCTAGCCTTCTATTTACTTTCTAAACTAACTTATCTGATGTTTTTATAGTATTATTCTAACCTCAAGATCTTGTTTCTGAATTATGTCAGTTCTGAGTCCATCTGTTTATGAGTATGTTGAACAGTACAGGTCCCAAGGATACTTTTAACTCGTCAAAAGGAAATTGCTAGGTGAGCAGCTGTAGAATTTGGGATGTGAGAAAGTTAACCAACGCTTTACTATGTATGAACCATGTGGGTTTGTTCACATGATTATGTCTGCATGTTTCACAGGGCAATTTTAATTCAAAAATGTTACATTGCAAGCATACAACAAAAAAATCTGTTACAGGTAGATCATGCATGCTATTGAGTATTGCAATGAAGTAAGCTACCAATGAGAATAAGTCTAGGATGACATTTTGCCAAAATAAGAAGTCTTGCATTTTTTCTTAATAGCAAGAATCTCCCCCTCCTCTCCTGAATAGAAACAGCTTAGTGGTAGAAAAAATTGGTGTTGCTGAATGAAAAATGTGAGCAGCAATGCCCTTGAGACTTTTGGCTTACAACTAGTTTAACGAATGGGAAAATGTAGAGAGGTTAAGTAGTAGGAGTGATGAAAGATTTATTGAACTCGCTTTATCTGGAAAGATTATTAGAATAGAATTAGGAGGCCTACTAGATTTTGAATGAATTAGACATAAAATGCTTAATCTTCAAGTACTAATTCAGTGAAAATATCACCATATTCAAGAAAGAGGCAAACAGATCTAAGGATCCTCTCTGTTCCTTTGAGACTGGGAAAGGACACCCGCTGATATGATCCAACGTTTATAGGAAAGAATATTGGATGTGAGATGAAGATGTTGCTAACAAAGACTGTGAATCTAAAGGTTTAAATTTTTGTGGTGTAAAAAATGCTGAGCAAAGATTGTGTTTCCCATTCTCCAACCCATCAGAAAGACCTGTATTGATCACTTGCAAGTGCCAGCAGTTCTCAAAGTTGAGAACTGTTGTTTTTTTTTAAATTGTTCTTTCTTCTCTGTTTCTTGAATAGTTTGCCTCCTCCTCTATAGATACTTCTTTTAATTTTCCGTATTGCATGAGAACTCCAGAATAAGCCCCATCATAAGCTGTCTTCTCCTCATAGCTCAATTCCTTGTGTGCTTTGCTTATTACTTGCTTGTCCCTCACCTCTGTTTGATGATTGATTTAAGTTTTTAACTCAGCCTCAAAATGCCTGTGCCTCCTCCACTCAGAGCCAGACTTAATCTTCCCTTTATGGTTGGAGTCCACATGGGCTTTATCATTATATTTTTCTTGTAACCTTTCCACAAAGGGAGATTTTGTTCTGCTGTAAGGTCTTATGTGGTTGTTCTAATTGGTATGGCTGACTTGATAATATCCCAAGGTTCAGGGTCATACAGTGCTAAGCACATTGCAGAAATGTGCAGTAATGACAAAGACGGTTTCTGTTGCAGTTATTACAGCCTTTTGACAGTAGGTCTCCCGCATTGGATTCTGAGGTTGCAATTATCTTTCCTTTTCTTACTTCTGTTTATCTACTCATATGGCTTTCTTTATTCCTGTATAAGCTCATCTTATAATGGGTACTTTTTTGGATGGTTTTTATGTAATTATGAAGATCACAGGCTCAGTAATAGGATGATGTTTAATTCAAATAATTGGTGAACTTGAGCAAAACTTTCTTGGGTAGTTTTTGAGAGCTATTTCTGTGATCCATCTGGCCCACCCAGATCATTAATTTATCATTGATCTTTTATAGAATAGTTGTCTGATAGAGGTTGGGACATACTTTGAAGTTTGTGCTGTAAATAAATATTTATTTATTCCCAATTACTGACTTCCTTTTGTGGGGCTAAGGCAGCTATACACTGTCACTAGTCTAGAGTCCTGTGTAAGCCCAACTTATCTGAATTTTAGGAAGGAGTGCACTATTCCTGACACTATACTTTTTAAAATAGTTTTTCTCTCCAACTACTGAAGTAAGATTCCATATATAGGAAGAAGTCTTCAGAAAATAAACCAAGAGTTAATACTACCTCGGTTTATCAAGAGCAGCTGCTGATTGGCTGAAGCCATGTGTATGTAACACATACGTTCATTATGTTCTTGTGTGTCTCTAGGAATCCGGAAAGACCGCAGAGGTGGGCGAATGGTGAAACAAAAACGCCAAAGAGAGGAGCAGGATTCCAGGAACGGGGAGGCTTCTTCTACAGAGCTGAGAGCTCCCACCCTTTGGACAAGTCCACTGGTGATTAAACATAATAAGAAGAACAGTCCAGCCCTGTCCCTGACGGCAGAACAGATGGTCAGTGCCTTGCTGGAAGCTGAGCCACCCATAGTTTATTCTGAATATGACCCAAATAGACCATTCAACGAAGCCTCTATGATGACCCTGTTGACCAACCTTGCAGACAGAGAATTAGTGCACATGATCAACTGGGCAAAGAGAGTTCCAGGTAAGGAAAAAAAAGCCCCATTGGACTGTAAAAGCCTCTACATGACAAACCAATAGAAAAAAAGACACTGTTTTTCGCACTACATGTTCTGATTTCATGCAAATTGTTCACTTAAGTATAAATACATTAAAAAATCACAAATTTTACGTTATATTGGTTGATAACAAACTATAGTGCAATGTAAGTGACTTTTGAAGAAGGATTTATGCAAGAAAAGATATTTCTCCAAACTATAGAATGTTGGACAATTTTTTTGATTGCAAATCCTTTTCCCAGATAAAACCCAGCAAAATTAAAGGTAAAAATAGATTACTAAAACCCAAATGTAATCAATTTGATCTAATTAATTTATGTTAATTATTTAGATCCCTTTTGAAAAAAGGGTTACTCTCATGTCTATAATGTAAGCCATAAATTCAGCATCACTACTGAGCCCATAAATATTAGTATTATTCATTTAATTGCCAGTTTATCTTTTTGACCATAATTTACAAATCTTCCGTGAGCTTTGGGTTTGGAAAACACAGAAAGAATAGCAATTTTTGTATAAAAATTTTTTCCTACTGGAACTAGATGTTTTTATCTTTATCATTTTGGTGCATCATGGTTGCTGGCCCCTCTTTTCTGGAACGGAATTACAGAATTGTGGGAAGAATGTAACATTTTTGATTGAATGTATGTTACACATTCATTCATGTGGTTTAATCAATTTATATCAATGAAATGAGAGAGTAGTTTTGTAATTAAAGTTCATAATATTTTCAAATTTCAGTCTACAAAACTACTTTTCATAAGTTAACTTTTAAATGTTTATTAGAAATTTATTGCACATTCTGTACTTTAATCTTTGTAAAAATACCAGCATACACAGTAATTCATACTGTATAATTCACTGGGATCCTGATCTCTTAAATTTTTACTGTAGCCATTTATTTAATTAAAATTATGTAGCTGCTTTATGAAGGTATGTTAGAGAACCTACCACAGCTCTCACTCACTTAGTACCTTACCTCAACAGTATTACCCCCGGGTTATGCCATTTTTCTGCTTTCCTTCATTTAAACTTGGCAAGACTCTTCCTGGTAAATCAATAACCCATAAAATCTGAGTCTTTTCCAGTCCTCATGGGTTCCTTTTTCACCACTTTTCACATGTCACTTTGTGGGCTCCAGCTATGATCAATGAGAACCTGTGTGTGTTTCATTTCTCATCGTATCATATAAGAAATCACCTGAGAATTTTATTCTTGACAAAGTCACAGTGGTTAAGGCCTGATCCACAAACTGTTCAAGTCAAGGGCGGGTTCTCCTGTTAATTTAGGTATGCCTTGGATCATGCCTTTACAAAATGCTTTTGAAAAATGAACATATGTCCATAGTGTTCAAGCTATTCACTATCAAAACAGCTAAGTTCAAATGACTTTTCTACTGATTTTAGAGATATAATCAGTCTAAGTTTGTTAAAATCCATTAATTTACATTCAACATGAATATACCACATTCTAAATTCATTCTGTTGTCCAACGGGAAACATTCTTCTTCTATGACATTTGATTTTGATAGTTAATGTAATTAATGAAAATGTGTTTAGATACAAAGCAACACTGTTAGGGAACTCAGATGTGTTTTTTATTCAGAAATCTCTTTAAAACTGCTTGTCACAAGATGATTACATCTGGTAAAGATCAAAAAACTGCCTGGGTTACCAAATGTATCCTTTATTTCCTAAGTAAACTTCTGAAATTAGAAAATCTAATGTATAAGGCTACCAACTATTTGTCTATATCCAATGTATTTTACATTTAAATAAATGTGCCTATTAATTGCCAAAATAGGTCCTAAGGAGAAACTAAGCCAAATGACTCTATATATGCATTAAGTACTCTAACAGATAAGGTTTGATATAAAGCTGGTGAACTTTGGTTAAAAAAAACCCAGAATTCTCTTCCCAGTGATAGCTTGATCTATTAGGCACTGTACAAACAATCATATGAAAGGAAAGTCCAAAAGCAGGAGAGATAGAATATGAATAGTTTGGGGATTCTGACAGTGCTGGACACCTAGCTGGTTCTTGGTATTGTGGCTTGGAGGATGGTATGCATGACCAAAAGCAGATATGAAAGTATTTTGGAAAGTTGATTTAAAAGAATTCAGGCTCAATTGTTTACCTGCCTCTAAAATTGGGTCCTCTGAGAGTAGGAATTTTGGAGCTAGGTGCTTAAATCTTTTTTTTGGATCTCTCATTTGGTCCCTAGAAAAGGCTGAGTGTTCTTAGTTGCTGATATTAAATCTTAGAAGTACTGATCACCATTCAAAGATAGGGCCTTTGCTTGGACTGTTTGCCTAAGTTTCCTTCTGCTGAAATGTACTGGCAGTAAATGTACATTGAGAGAAATGTGTCTGGCAATCTAAGACGTATTTTCACCTCCACAGTAGGTTGCCTTTGAATAATCCATTATTACTAGGAATTATGCAATACTGCTTAATTAGAGAGGATTTTCGTATACTTTATGCATAAACAGAGGAACTGAATAACCTTTCTCTGTTAGGTGAAGTATTTTGTGCAACAACATTGTGAGATTCCACTCAGTTATTTTCTCAGCTAATTTACTAAAGTTTCAGGCTTTGGAATCAAGGGTAAAAACATCTTTTTCTAAAAAATGAATGTACTTTTTACCAGTAGAAAAAAAAGCAGTTGCAAGAAACAGCCTCTCCTATGCACACCTCTCAAGCCTTGGAAGCATTGCACAAGTTCATTTAGCTAAATGCAGGCACTTAGCTGATGGAAAGCAAGGAGCAAAGTCAATAGGAGTGGCTGGGTTGAAAGCATATTTGTTGAGGAGTGAAGAAATTGATACTAACAGAGCAGAAATGCAATGAAGATACAGTTTACAAATAAGTGTAAGGACTGTCAGGGACATTTGTGGAGTTTATTTTGCTGTGTAGGCTTTAAAGAAGAGGGAGTGTGTCAAGGCAACTAGTAATGACATTGTTTTGGTCAGCCAGTCTTTCTGGTGATGTAAATAGGTGGGCATGTAAGAAGAAACAGCTAATTAGAAGATGTGCTGGATAGAAGTCAATCTATTCTACAAAAAGGAGTAATGAAAACTAATTTATGATGGACTGTGTAGTATAATGTAGGCAGAGATCTGTTACAAAGACATGCTGAGGACAATCTCCAAAATGAGGTATCTTTGCAGACATGCCCTGATTGGGAAGGTGAGAACTGGTCTAAATCTTTATTGCAACTTGTTCAGCATTAGTTCAAACTTGTTTAAATTGACTCTGCAATCTTGGTGGTGTTAACTAATTGCTGGGGAAAAGAGAACTTGTGGCAGTTTCTTGTGCATAACCTTAAAAAATAATCTTCAATATTTAATTATAACATGATTGTTAACTGAGGTCATAACAAAGTTCTTCCATGACAATGCAATTCATAATATGCCAAGTGCATAAAAGCTTGTTTTAATTTTCCTCTGAAACCTTGGCCACTGATACAAGTGGGTTTGCCAGATTACATGAACAAAAATCTCGTACAGTGTCCTATGACACATACAAAAAATTCGGGATGCCCCTCAGGACTTGCTCTTTACATGGTCTAATGGGGATTTTGGCTTAAGTCCTCCCAGATGGCCTCTGTAAGACACCAGCGGTGCCTTCTGGTTACCCCAACCAGCTGGAATAGTAAGCAGCTGCACATAAGGCAGGTGCAAACAGATTGTTACAGGCTAGACTTTACATACACATGTAAATCGAGCCTTTTACCATTTAATTGGGACAAATCACTAAAAATTCACATGTAGGCAAGGTATCAGCATAGATGAATAAATGTTCTGCTCATTTCTAAATGATGTATTCCTGAAAGATACGGCTTTCTATTTTTTTCTTGGTTTACATAACATCTTGGGGATATAGTACCACCTTCAGTCTCACAGAATGAGGTTTTTTAGTTTAGTGAATTTTCATCATAGTCTTTGATGCAATTAGCAAAACCATTGCTTTGCTTTTCTACAGAAATGCTGATATGTCAAAGGAATTAACTTACTGTATTTCGTTATTCACTTACTGTGTATATCATTTAATACCTATATTTGGAGTACTGTATTCTCTAGAGGAAGCTGGTATTTTCAATGTAATCATCAATAATTTTTTTGTGCAGAAGCTCTTGAGATGGTAAGAGACATTATGAGCTTATACAGTGAGCTCATGGTAAGGAGTGCAGCTTTAAGGAAATTTTGTTGCAAGGGTGAAATATTTGGCACTGCTGCTACAATCTTGTATAACTATTTACTACAAGTACAGTAGCTGTACAACTTAATAGCCCTAAAATGGTACACTGGGCATACAAGCTTTGAAGTTTTGAGATGATTCACGGTGCTGTACTTATTTTATGGCTTCATGAACCGAGGAGATAAACATTTTGGCACCATTTTTTTTTATTTCAAAGCCACAGAAGTTGCTATTTTCTTAAGATATTGTTTTCCTATTTGACCTCCTAAACTGTTCTGTTTGTTAAATTAGGAACAGTGTGTAAAGAGGGCAACAATAGCCACAATTTTGCACTGCACTTCAGTGACACCAAACCTTGGAAAAAAAAAAAGTCAGCTTGCAGTGGAAGGAAAGAAGTCTTATACAAGAGTGGTGTGTGTTAATACCCTTTAGGTGCAGGACAGTTTACAGAGCTGCTAAGTGTAGTGGTCCTCCTGGCAATAATTTACACTTAGCTTAAAAAAAGGAATGGCTTGCAATTCCTGTAATAGTTTTTAATAAACCTTCTGAAATATCTGCTTCATAACCTCTTCTTATTTGACTAATGGGCTTGCTGTGGAGATTTGTAAAATCTTATTAAAAACCCCCACCCCTCTGCTTATCTGTTTAATCTATTGAAATGACACTCTAACTGCTCCCCTGACTTCATCAGAGAAAAACTGAGGAAGCAAATAGATCTGTAAGCAAAAGAGAAATGATAACAAGCGTCTGGATCTTACTGTATGGCTGCTT